TTCCACCACACAACTACTTGCTTCCTCTAATACAAAATAAGTACTTAATGCACTAGCCTTTTACAGATATGAAACGTGAAAACGGTACCAATCACTAGATCGCCTGCAATAAAAGCTAAAGCGTCAATGAACTAAAATAATGGGATGGAACGGCACACCTGTCCTAAGCCACCAAAGATGAAATGTCTAGCTTGCAATAAAAAAGTATCAAATTCTGCTACTCTACGAAGCACCACGAAGAACCTATCTTCAGCGACACTTATAGCTAGGGGGTAAGCGAATAACTCAACGGCAACTTGTGGACTAGAGATCTAGCTCACTAAACAACAGGGAGGAGGAAGATTGTTCTCAGTAACAAAACGAATTCGCCTGTTTTCGTTATTCAAATAATTTACATCCTGGCATAAGTTTCCAAAACGCAAGCTCCTTCACGTACCTTGACCACGGCAGAAAAGAACTGGCAGCACCTCAGCAATTTCACCAGAAGGACGAGAACGCCGATGTACATGTAGTTTTTGCTCTTCTCAAATCAGTTTTTTTTTTACACCGCAACGTTGTGAATTCCTCGTTTCTCAAAACCTTTTTTACACAGACAAAAAATCTCGCACTTACTCTTGCACAGACTCAAAGAGAACAACAAACGCAGAGTCGCAAAACGAAAATTCTCGAACTCTAATCACATATGACTTCTCCTCAGTTAATGTTTCCTACTCGTAATGCATCCATCAAAATCAGTCAAACACCAAGTTGTTGCACACGCATCCTTACTGAAATTACGCCAGTTCATATCGTCTCTCAAGAACGGCGCCTCCTCATGCGTGCTCAAGAACGGTCGTTACTCTCTTTACTCTCCTTCAATTTTCACTCCTAAATTAAAGTGCAAGACATTCGGACACAGACAAAACAGAAAATTTGCGAGCGTCCCCTCCTCAAACTGAGGTCCAATAAAAGGCCAAATGATCCTCAAAATGGTTGAGGTTAGGCTACCGCTCAAACGCCTCAATCAGTACACGTTTTTTCAAGAATAGAAAGTTACTCGATCAAACATTAAATGAAAATGATTCGAACTATCAATAACAAGACTGAAGCCGCGCACAAATTATAGATTCTTTGTCACATGAGATGTACGCGGAAAAAGCGATCCGCTGTATAGCCAGCACACATGTTGATCAACTAAAGGGTCTCCAGGTATAAAAAACCCGTTGGGTTGCAGCCACAGTAGAAACCAAAAGCCAAGTCCTACGGCGCCATCCTCCTCATCGTGGAGGATGAAGCAGAACTTTGATTGAACATTTTTCATCATCTCCTACTCATTGGAAGGAGGGGTGAAGCCTCCTCCTGTCGAACAACAATACGATATACACAAAATCTCAACACAAAAATTATGATTTTCCTTCTCTTCCTTTCTCTCCCTGTATTTCTTCCGCACCATCCAAGTCCGGGTCAAACTCATCAAAACCAGGCAAATCAGCAGCAAAATCATCTCCGTCGAGCGGTTCTAATTCTTCGAACCCCTCGTCGCCATCAGGCAAGGGCCCCATTCCAAGTAAATACTGCGTTCTGTATTGTTGCGCCGCCCAAAGATATTCAAAAACTTCATGTTGGTGCTGGAGGCAAACTTCGCCATTGCGTAGTGCTCCATATTAGAGCTGCTCCCCCTCCTCAATCGTCACAGGTTAGAGGCGCATGACCAGACGATTATAAAGGTAGTCAGCACACAACTAAGTCTATTCGCTGCACCACACAATTCGAAATATCCCATTACCCACCATGTACACGGACTCAAATAGATGAAGTTTAAAGTGACACCATAGATAGTCACATGATTCGCTCCTTAAACAAAGCCTTAATCCAAAATATTCGCACTCCGCGGCGCTTGTCCCTGCATATTCATGCCTTTTCCACAGGTTGGCTGAAGTATTATTTTTTTCGAAATGCGATAAGTTAGTATTTCTGGAAACATATCACGCGGCTAACACTCGGTGAATATACGGTCAACCAACGAACACAGGAGATAGAGGAAATGACATGAAATACCCAATGACACAAAATTTCAGAACAACAAATTCCCAACTTCTGAAGTAGTACCATGTTGTGTCCAATCGCATTGCCGCCATATCCAAATCCACCTGTGTTCACGAAACTACTACTCGCGGCACCCCCAAAACCAGTCCCGCTTTGTGGAGGCATACCAAATCCACTAAACTGCGGCTGCATATTGCTCGTACCAAATCCAACAAGTTGTTGATGTTGCATTCTCTGACTGTTACACCCAAATCCGGGGAGTTCTGCCTGTTGCATCTTCTGATTACTAGGTGAAAATCCAGCACGTTGTGGCCCTTGCATGTTCTTATTGTTAGGACCAGAACCAGAAACTTGTGCCCCTTGCATGGTCTCATTGGTAGTACAAAAACCCGAAAGTTCTGGCTGCTGCATGTTCTCATTGCTACTACCACAGCCCGGCAATTGTGGCTGCTGCTTCATCTGATTTGTTTTACCAAAGCGAGAAAGTTGTGCCGGTTGCATAACCTGCTTCGTCATTCCGAAACCAGACGGCATCGTTTGATTGCTGCCATTCAACCCGAAATGTTGCTGCCCTTGCGTCTTCTGATCGCTTCCACTAAATCCCTCACCTTCATGTGCTAGTTGGTGCTCCATTTTCTTCTCGCTTGCACTTAAAACGGACGCCTTTCGCTTCATCTCGGGATTCCCAACCGAGCATCCAACATCTAATTGCTCCTTCCCATCAAACGCAACGGTGCCTCCCCGTAATTCTTGATGCTCCCTCTCCGCACCAATTGAACCTCCAGCACACAGCTTCTGTTTCCCCTGGTAAGAAGCAGCACCCTCAACACACTTCTTCTGCTTCTCCTCACCAGAAGACGCACTCTGACATACATCTTGCAGCTTCCCCTTATTAGCAGCCGCGCAGTCAAGAGACAAATCCTCCTCTACAGGGGTGGTTACTCCATACCCACAAATCCACTTCGATTGATTGTACGTGCCTGCCGCTACACCTCCAGTTTGCTTTGACTCCTTACAAACCATCGCAGATGTGTGTACTTCTTGATTCGACTGAAGAAAGGCATTCCCAGCTGCTACTACTTCTTGATTCGAGTGAGGTACGCCCCTGGGAGGCTGAGAGGCCTTCCTAGCTGCAGCAACTTCTTTATCCCCTGATTTACGAAGTCCAGCAGCTGCATTTTCGCCCCCACCAGTTGATTTACTGACTTCAACAGCTGTAAGTTCTTGTCCCTTCGCCAAATTGCAAGCTCTTGTCTCAGAGCTTGCACCAAAAGGAAATGCACTGACACCTTGATTTTTGGGCGCGCCACTACTCGCAAAACCAGATGCAGATGACGGCATATTTGTCTGCAGCCCACTACTCTGCCAAGCATACCCAGATGACGCTTTATTTGTTGGGAGACGACTACTCCCGAAACCACATCCAGGCGCCTCAATATTTCTCGCCAAACTTGTAGTTCCAAAACCGGATCCAGTCGAAATATGATTTGTCGGCGCACTCGTAGTCCCAAAACCAAATCCGGTTGAGTTATGATTTGTCTGCGCACTTGAAGTCCCAAAACCAAATCCGGTTGACATATGCTTTGTCGCCGCCGCTGTAGTCCCAAAACCAAATCCG